GGAACACAGGTTGCAGCGAAGCAGAACAGGGGTTGAAGCAGGTTGCAGGGAACACAGGTTGCAGCGAAGCAGAGCGTGAGGCGCCGGTGGCAGTTCTGTGGCAGCTCTGTTCTCTCTTGTGAGTTTCGAGAGACGTCTCGAAACTCACTCTCAAAACTCTCCATCCTCTCTGCAGTTTGCTTTGTGTTCTCTCTCCCTCCCCAGCAGGGTCACATATTGATTTCCACCTGCCTATCCTTTTGTGTTCACTCTCCCCCCCCAACAGGGTCACATATTGATTTCCACCAGCCTATCCTTTTGCGTTCTGTCCCCCCCCCCCACAGGGTCACACACATAATAATTCTCACCTGCCCCTGGGCAGTATCCAGTATCCTTTTGTGTTCTGTCTCCCTCCCCCCCACAGGGTCACACACATAATAATTTAACTTGCCCCTGGGCAGTATCCAGTATCCTTTTGTGTTCTGTCTCCCCCCCCAGGTCCCAAGCGATGGTTCCCACCTCACCGTGGTGCTTGGGTGAACGTTGTGAGCTTGCTCCTGGCGGCCAAGAGGAACCCCCCATGCACACCTACCGTGCATGGGTAGTAGTACAATACAGTACAATTATTTAATATTTGATTCTGGATCATCACTAGCAACTTTGATTGGATAATTACCTTGAAACTGTTACTGTAATAGGTGTAGTAGTACATACCTACAGTGCATGGGTAGTAGCAAGAGGAACCCTCCATGCCAGGGCCTCAGATATCAGCGTAAAACACGCTGATTACGCTGATTTTGTAGCTCTGAAATCCGTTTTCCCTGGAAAATCAGTAAATGCTTCCATTTTGGGCTGAAATTTCAGTAAATGTGATTTTGCCACACTGACGTTTTTGTGTGTTTCTGAACGAGTAACACTGACGAATCAGTATACTTCAGTGCGTCACCCTGAAACGGATTTGACCGCGCGGGGGGGGGGGGGGGGGGGGGGGGGGGGCGACGCGTGTACAGATTGTTCCTTCGCGTGATTCACGAAACCCCACCCCACCCACACACTTGGAATCACATGCGCTGTATTTACAGCTAGTGCGCGCCGAACCGTTTTTGCCGCGCTGGAAGCCATCACACCAGAGAACGGTCAACCAAGTTCACAACTGCCCAATGAGAACACAGACAACACACCACTGGTGGCAGGGTCCACGCCAACACGCCAGGGATGGCAGAGTTGAGTGGGGGTGTTGTCACCTTGCCTGGAAAGACGGAAACCCTGGCCTGGACCAAGATCCCTCGTCATGGCGGCTCGGGAGAGGGGGTACCCCCATCTGCTCCCTCATTCTCTTCCTGCACTCCTGGTGAACCCCTGCAGGAAGTGATGTTCGAGCTGAAGCAGGAGTAGCTTCTCCCTCGTTGCTCGGCACGCTCAGCAGCACTGAGCAGCCATGGCGGCTCCGACGCCCGCAGGTGACGGCCCTCCGCCCGTCGCAGGCACGAAGCCAGCCGCCCTTACTGGCTTAGACTTTTTGCGACGAGCTTCAGCTGCTCCCGCGTTAGTCCCGCCATCAGCTCAAGCCGTTCCGTTCCCTTCCTCTGGCCCCGAGGCACCTACCATCTGGACGCAGGGCGAGTGTTCGACGCATGTCGGCGCTGCCGCTTCACCTCCTGTCGCTGCAGCATCAACTCGTGTCGCTGCAGCGTCAACGCCCGTCGCTGCCGCATCAACGCCTGTCGCTGCCGCATCAACTCCTGACGCTGTTGGATCAACACCTGCCGCTCCCGATCCCACACGGAACCGTCAACCTGTCGCTGCCGGAACTACTTGGCAAGGTCCACATCTTAAAAAGGGTATCAAACTGAGGTACCACCAGACAAAGATCCAGTGGGGTCCCAGTCAAGCTACACCAACGTCCGGTGCGGGGAACTCTTCCCCGAAGGCCCGTCAGCGTAAAATGAAGGGGAAAGCGGTTGAGGTGTCTTCCGATACAGAACTGCCGACATTGCCGAGGAGAAATACCAAGAAGCCTTATTAATGTTTAACAAACAATGGTCTACTGACTACCCGTGGCTTGTACTGCTGCAGAATAGTTTCGGGTTCCCGTCAATCAAGTGCAAGATCTGCATTGCGCACGCCGGTACGGGGACGAACTTCGGCGCCAAAGGAGAAGGGGCGACCGATGTGCAGACCCAGGCGATGCGGAAGCATCAGCGCACAAGGAAGCACCGCCGCGCTGTGCGCAGGCAGAAGACAGCCGAGGCGGCTCTCAAAGCTAACCGCCGGATTGACGACAACCCGAAGGTGAAAGACGTGGAGAAGGAGCGCCTGCTCGCGCTGTTTCAGACGGCGCTCTTCATCGCTAAGTCCGACGCCCCGATCGAGATGTACGTGGACCTCGTCCAGCACTTGGCGCAGCGTGGCACACCGGGCTTCCCAAAGCGCAGTTATGGTGCCTACTACATGACGTAAGTGACATTGCTCCTGTTCAACTGGCAGCGGGTTGTGATGTACTTGCAGCTATCTCTGACCACACCCGTTGATGCCCGTGCAGGTACGGATTCGAGGAGATCACCGCCGCAATAGCGACATTCCTTCGTGCGCGCCAGAGAGAATTCATCGACACGAGTCCCTTCATTGGTCTGAGCTGCGACGAGAGTACGGACCGCGTCAAAGGCAAGCACATGATTGTGTTTGCAACCTTTCTGCGTGAGCACGCCGTCACCACAGAGTTCCTGACTAACCTCTCCATCGAGAAGTGTGATGCAGCCTCACTTTTTTCAAAGCTCACGGAATTCCTTGACAGTATCAACCTCCCGCTGGAGAAGGTGGCGGGTATCAGCACCGATGGGGCACCTGTGATGATAGGAAGCGACACGGGCCTCGTTGGGCGTCTTCGCCTGGAGATCCCGCACGTGGTGGCTTCTCACTGCATCGCACACAGGTAAACTGTTGCTGTGGTGGTGTTGTAGCGGTGTGAAATGTGCAACGTGGCAGTGCGAATTCTAACACCACCACCTGTGCTTTTCTACCCGTGGCAGGGAGGCGCTTGCTGCAAAGGAGGCGGCTAAGGCCCTGCCCGAGCTTGGCATCATCGACGCAGTCATCCGCGCATTGGCGGAAGATCTAGGCAGATCCAGCAACTACAACCGCAAGTTCAAGGAGCTGTAGGAGGTGTTCACGCACACCAACCTCGAGGTCCAGGGGATCCACTCCGTCCGCTGGTTGAGTCGTGGCGATGCTATCGCCCGGTTCGTCCGCGTGTTCCCTGCTGTCATCGTCATGCTCGAGGAGACGGACAAGACGATGTACCAGTTGGTGACGTCGTTCAAGTTTCATTTTTTCCTGTTCTTCTTGGCAGATGTGCACACGGCACTCAACGCGCTCAACCTGCTATTCCAGAAGCGTCAGGTGAGCTGTTGAGTAACGTTGTGCTTTTCAGTTCTTCTCCCAGTTTCTAATCTTTTGTTCCGGTGTACCTATTCTCCCCCTACCAACAGGTTGACCTCACTGCAGTGCACTCCCAGGTGAGGCGGACCATCATTTACATGGAGCAGCGGTACCTGCACTGTGGCCAGCAGTTTGGCGGCGGGACCAGCGAGCTGCTGTCTGCCTTCCTCGCGCGGCACGCCTCCCCCGACTGCCGTGAAGTGACTGTGGAGGGGGTGGACAAGGAGGGTCAGGCCCGGGTACACACTTTCCAGCTGCACGAGGAGGCCGTGAAGGGATACACCACCAGCAGCGGGGGCATGCAAGGCTGCTACACCTGCTGCCGCTCCTTCGCCCGCGAGCTGGTGTACAACCTCGAGCTGCGCTTGGGAGACCTGACGCGGTTGAACGGGGCGAAGCTCTTCATGCCCCGCACGTGGCCGAAAGCCGTCGAGGCTAGAGAGGCCGAGTGCAAGGAGCACCTGCACGGCCTCGTCAATCTGTTCCAGGCCAAGAACCGGGACACGATCTTGCCAGGTGAGCTAGAAAGAGAACCCCAATGCCCTGCGTGTATGCGTTGCCGTTCTAAGCGGTTGTGTTATTCCCATGTTGAGGGCCTGACTTTCTACCCGGTTGTGCTCTCCTGTTTGGCAGGTGTCCAGAAGCGTGCAGCTCGAGCGGAGCTGCGCACGTTCCTGCCGGTGCTCTCCACTGCGCCCAAGGAAGAGCAGCCCTTTCACGCAGGTTTGAAGGCCATCTTGCAGACCAGCGACTGGCAGACCAGCTACCCCAACTTAGTCCGTCTGTGGGCTGCCGTCGCTGTTCTGCCGCTCAGCACAGTCGAGTGCGAGCGCGGGTTTTCCCGCCAGAATGTGATCAAGTCGTGGCGCCGGACGAGTCTCTGCAACGCCAAGCTGGGAGATTTGTTGGCAATGTCTCTTCTCGACTACGACATGGACTGGGATGCGGTGGTGGACATCTGGCGGAGCACCAGGAAAAGGCGCCCCAGCAAGCGTAAGGAGCAAGCCGCGCCAGAGAAGGAGCGACCCAAGGCCAAGTTTGTTAAGGGGAGTGGCCGTCGGCTGGTGCAGGTGGAGGAGGAGCTAGATGAGGGCATGATGAGTGGTTCTGCATCCGATGGCAGTGAGAGTGATGATGATGGCAGCAGTAGCAGCAGTGGTGATGATGCGAGTGTTTCTTCTTCAGATGATGACATGACATGACATGAGCTAGTTAGCTAGCTAGTTTGTAGTTAGTAGTAGTTAGTTAAGTTAGGGTATATTATCTTGGAATATTTTACACTGAAGGATCAGTATAGTGAAAAATTTTACACTGACAGAATCAGTATATTGAAAACCACCAACGCTGATTTGGACAGCTGGTGGCAGGGGCACGCTGATCCATCAGCATACCCTCAAACCAATCTGAGGGCCTGCTCCATGCATACCTAGAGTGCACGGGTAATAGTACAATGGTACAATTATAAAATATTCAATTCTGGATCATCGCTAGGAACTTTGATTGGATAGTACAATTAATAATATACTTTGGATCATGATAGCATAAATATTTTAGTATACAAGCGGATTATCACTACTTCTCAATTAGATTAGTAATAAAGTTTGATACGTATAGTCCAGCACCATGTACAGGTCTAGTAACATGTCAAGCACCATAATTCTATTCACTCCATGAACCACAATGTGTGCATCCGTGTAGAGGTCTGGCAGCACCGCTCGTACACTCCCCTGCGCTCCCAACACGATACCCTGCCGTTCCATCACCTCCATCTCCATCTCCTCAAACCCTGGTGTGAACTGCATGCACACGAGGGGAATTGGGGAGGAGTGGGGGATAAAGGAGGTTCAGCGCAGGAGAGAGGGAGGATTTTGGGGTGGGGTTTGGAAAGGGAGGGACTGGCTGGGGGAGGGAGAGAGGAAGGGGCTGGGGGGGACGTAGTTGAGAAGAGAGGGAGGGCTGTGGGCTGGAAGGGGTTGGATTGAATGAGCACGAAGCGCCTGCACATGTACGGTCAAAACCCAACGTTATTAAAAATGTTGCTGGTGCGATGCGTACATGAGCGGAACACCCCAGCTCCTCAATCACATCTCTGGGGATCCCACAACCACAGCACAGCGTGCCACGGAGCATACAGTGCATGCCAAACCTAAAACAGAGTCACATTAACAGCCGGGGAAAGCGCAGCTTGCACGCACCAGTGAGCCTGCCGGTAGTTCTGCCAGCTGAGCGGCATAACTACCGGCGCGGTGCGTGTGACGCTGGTGCGGCGCGTGAGGTAGCGGCAGGAAGGTGAACGTGCCGTAGATGGGCGAGAGAAGCGTTATGCGCATCCGCGATAGGAGAAACGATAGCGCCGGTGAATGTTGTAATTCTGGGCATGAGAGGAAACACGCCGGGGAAGGGAGAGAATGTGCGGGGGATGGGAGAGCACCAGGTGGGACGGCAAGGGGTGAAGGGAAAAGACGGCAGGGGGAGCGATGAGGACAATGGGGGGCTTTGGGCAGAAAGCCTGGAGAAACATTCCTAGGAAAAGACGTATAAAAGAAAGAAAGAAAGAATCTGCAGGCACAAACGTATAAAATGCATGTTTCCTCGCTCGTTAACAGAATTGCCCAGAGAATGATACCAAAGCGCCTGCACATGTACGGTCAAAACCCAACATAATAAGACACAGCAGTGCATCAAGGGCATCATGCACAGCAGTGCGCAGCAGTGCATCATGCGCAGCAGTGCATGAAGCTGACACGGCAGTGCATGAAGCTGACACGGCAGTGCATGAAGCTGACACGGCAGTGCATGAAGCTGACACGGCAGTGCATGAAGCTGACACGGCAGTGCATGAAGCTGACACGGCAGTGCATGAAGCTGACACGGCAGTGCATGAAGCTGACACGGCAGTGCATGAAGCTGACACGGCAGTGCAAGCCACACGCCAACAGAGGCACACTACCAACCAGAGGAAGCACAGCATGCACGCACCAGTGAGCCTGCCGGCACTACTGCCAGCTGAGCGGCAGTGAGAGCTGCATGACGCTGGCGCGGCGTGTGAGGTAGCGGCAGGTAGCGTCAGGTGCTGTTGGATTCTGCGCATGATGAAGGGGGGGGAAAGGAACGGGAGGTGAGGAGGGGGGGGGGGGGGGGGGGGGGGGGGGGGAGGAGAGGGAGGAAGAGGGGGAAAAGGGGGAGGTACTGAAGGCGTGGTGTTTCTCACGTGGAAAAGAGATCACATGGTATCCGAAACCACGTGCTTCTGATGATTAGCATTCTGTGTGCCAGTGGAACATATGCAGCAAGTTTGTAAACTAGCGAGATCTAATATTGCGCTTCTAAAAGCAGCGATAATCGCGCGTCGCGCGTTGATGTTCCGGATCTTAAGAATTCGTTCTCTGGCAGCGTCAAGTCAGGCGGGATCGTCCGACGACCAGCAGCGAGAGCCCTTTCTCGCTGCCATCGCCGCGTAAGCCGCTTCCGCGTCGCGCTCTTGAAACGAGTCCGCATAGACTTCCGTTCCGTCATCGTGTATCCTTGTAACGAGGATACCGCGTGCCATAATCGGAGCGGCGACTACAGCGCGAATCTGTACAATCGCGAAAAAAAACCACTTTATGCGAATCTGCGAGGAGAGGAGATGAGCAGCGACAAGCACCTTCCAAATCGGAGCGATTTCGCTAGTGACAACGGCGCGTTTGATTAGTGACTGAAATCAGGACCGCGCCGAAATTAGTGACTACGCGACGCGTTTCGAGGAAAGGATGCTCCTAATTGAAGCTACTACCATTCCAATCTACTAACATTGAAGCTGCCGCAGCGTGATGGTCAAATCTACTAAAGCAGTGCTAGGGAAGTCTCGTAGCGACAATGGCGCGTTTGAGACAGGAGAGTAAAGTCTATAGTCTCGCAGGAAAACTAGATAGCACAAATTCATTACGGTAATATCAAATTCAGCGTTGCTCCTTGCCAACATTAAATTTTAGGGCAATGATCCAGTTGAGAGGTTTCAGAATCACTGTTTGGTTTAAAATTTTACCAACCGAAAGTTCCATATTTACTACTGTTCCAATAATTATGGTAGCTGCCTATGTGGCTCTGTTTGTGTTGCGTACCTTGTGTCTCTGTTTCTGTCTGTATGGGTTCTGTCTCTAGTTCTCTGTATGGTTCTGTCTGTCACACCAGGAAATGCACATCCGGTGCATCAATTGACAACATAAATAACATGCTAGGACGTACCACTAACTGTCTACATACCGTATGTCTGAACTAAATCAACACCTATTGCAGCAATAGATGGTAGTAATCCATTCAAAGTTCCTAATGACTATCCAGATTAAATAATAAATAATTGTACTATTGTATTACCCATGCACTGTAGGTATGCATGGGGGTTCCTCTTGGCCGCCAGGAGCAAGCTCCCAACGTTCACCCAAGCACCACGGTGAGGTGGGAACCATCGCTTGGGACCTGGGGGGGAGACAGAACACAAAAGGAAACTGGATACTGCCCAGGGGCAGGTTAAATTATTATGTGTGTGACCCTGTGGGGGGGAGGGAGACAGAACACAAAAGGATACTGGATACTGCCCAGGGGCAGGTGAGAATTATTATGTGACCCTGTTGGGGGGGGAGACAGAACGCAAAAGGATAGGCAGGTGGAAATTATTATGTGACCCTGTTGGGGGGGGGAGACAGAACACAAAAGGATAGGCAGGTGGAAATCAATATGTGACCCTGTTGGGGGGGGAGAGAGAACACAAAAGGATAGGCAGGTGGAAATCAATGTGTGACCCTGCTGGGGAGGGAGAGAGAACACAAAGCAAACTGCAGAGAGGATGGAGAGTTTTGAGAGTGAGTTTCGAGACGTCTCTCGAAACTCACAAGAGAGAACAGAGCTGCCACAGAACTGCCACCGGCGCCTCACGCTCTGCTTCGCTGCAACCTGTGTTCCCTGCAACCTGCTTCAACCCCTGTTCTGCTTCGCTGCAACCTGTGTTCCCTGCAACCTGCTTCAACCCCTGTTCTGCTTCGCTGCAACCTGTGTTCCCTGCAACCTGCTTCAACCCCTGTTCTGCTTCGCTGCAACCTGTGTTCCCTGCAACCTTCTTCACCCCCTGTTCTGCTTCGCTGCAACCTGTGTTCCCTGCAACCTGCTTCAACCCCTGTTCTGCTTCGCTGCAACCTGTGTTCCCTGCAACCTGCTTCAACCCCTGTTCTGCTTCGCTGCAACCTGTGTTCCCTGCAACCTGCTTCAACCCCTGTTCTGCTTCGCTGCAACCTGTGTTCCCTGCAACCTGCTTCAACCCCTGTTCTGCTTCGCTGCAACCTGTGTTCCCTGCAACCTGCTTCACCCCCTGTTCTGCTTCGCTGCAACATGTGTTTCCTGCAACCTGCTTCACCAGGCAAAGCAAAAAAGGCAACACCCATGCATCAGAACACACAAACCAGCTAACGCAAGTGCTAAACAAATAAAGCAACAAGAATGCATCTGAACGAACAAACAAGCTAACGCAAAAAAGAGGAAAACCATTGGCAGCACATATTTACTCCACCTCTGCTTGTTCCCTAAATCGGAAAATTCTCCTTTGCCTCCTCTGCTCCATTGCTCCTTCAAACTTTCGCACGCCTCCTCTCCTCAGCTGCTCCTCCTCCTCTGATGAATCTCGTCTGCTCCTCTTCCCCTGATGCATCTCATCTGCCCTTCCTCTGCACCACTACCCCTCCAGTGCAGCACCACTCCCCCTCCACTGCAGCACCTCTTCCCCTCCACTGCAGCACCACTCCCCCTCCACTGCAGCACGACTCCCCCTCCACTGCAGCACGACTCCCCCTCCAGTGCAGCACGACTCCCCCTCCAGTGCAGCACCACTCCCCCTCCAGTGCAGCACCACTCCCCCTCCAGTGCAGCACCACTCCCCCTCCAGTGCAGCACCACTCCCCCTCCAGTGCAGCACCACTCCCCCTCCACTGCAGCACCACTCCCCCTCCACTGCAGCACCACTCCCCCTCCACTGCAGCACCACTCCCCCTCCACTGCAGCACCGCTCCCCCTCCACTGCAGCACCACTCCCCCTCCACTGCAGCACCACTCCCCCTCCACTGCAGCACCTCTCCCCCTCCAGTGCAGCACCACTCCCCCTCCAGTGCAGCACCACTCCCCCTCCAGTGCAGCACCACTCCCCCTCCAGTGCAGCACCACTCCCCCTCCAGTGCAGCACCACTCCCCCTCCAGTGCAGCACCACTCCCCCTCCAGTGCAGCACCACTCCCCCTCCAGTGCAGCACCACTCCCCCTCCAGTGCAGCACCACTCCCCCTCCACTGCAGCACGACTCCCTCTCCAGTGCAGCACGACTCCCCCTCCACTGCAGCACCACTCCCCCTCCAGTGCAGCACGACTCCCCCTCCACTGCAGCACGACTCCCCCTCCAGTGCAGCACCACTCCCCCTCCAGTGCAGCACCACTCCCCCTCCAGTGCAGCACCACTCCCCCTCCAGTGCAGCACCACTCCCCCTCCAGTGCAGCACCACTCCCCCTCCAGTGCAGCACCACTCCCCCTCCACTGCAGCACCACTCCCCCTCCAGTGCTGCCACTGCTGCTGCCACTGCTGCTGCTGCCACTGCTGCTGCTACTGCTGGCCTTCTCTTTCTGCTTGCACTGTTGCTGCCATAGGTAGTATCGCTGCATGCCTCTCCCCTACTCCCACCGCTGGTGTCACTGCGGGTGCCACCTCCAATGGAGCAGCAGCAGCACCACCTCCTAACGCAGCAGCAGCACCACTCCCCCTTCACCAGCAGCACCACTCCACCACTTCACAGCACCAGCAGCAGCAAATGCGAGGGAGGTAGGAGCGAGGCAGCACAAGGCAGCTAAAGGTAGGTACAGCTTGCACCTTGCTGCTGCCAACTCTAGCTCCTTGTCTGCTCCTCTTCTCTATTCGCCTGCCCATCACCTCTCCTGCAGTGGCCTCCTCTCCCAGCAGCTGCCAGTCGGTCCCTCCGATCGACCATCACTGTCTAGGTAGGCCGTGAACATTAGCCCCGTAAAATCTTATTCTACGTACTACGTCATCAGATTCAATAGTTAACAACTCTTGTAATGTGAAAGCAGTTCCAAAAGCTTGAAATGTCGAGCATTCCATCTCTCTTGGTCTTTGACCATCACAATGGGACTTACCACAAAGAAGATGCTGTGTAACTAAGCCAACGGCCGTTATAGCTTAGTTACACAGCAACCTCATGGTGGTAAGTCTCATTTTGGTGGTCAAAGGTTCGAAGAGATGGAATGCTGGGCATTACAAGCTTATGGAGTTGCTTACGCATAAAAAGAGATGTGAACTGTAGAATCTGATGACGTAGCAGGTGGAATCTGAATTTACGAGGTGAAGTGTTGTAGCCGGCTCAAATGTTAGTGTCCGCACAAGAGGTCTCCAACAGGTCTGCTCCTCTGCTCTATTCACCTGCTCATCACCTCTCCTGCAGTGGCCTCCTCTCCCAGCAGGTGCCAGTCGTCCCCTCTGCTCCTCTCCCAGCCCATTCTCACTGGCAGTGGCAATGGCCGGGAATCCTCCTTCGCCTCCTCTGCTCGGCTCCCAGCAGGTGCCAGTCGTCCCCTCTGCTCCTCTAGAGTAGCACACGGGATGGAGGCAGCATCATTTTCTCCCACTGCTGCTCCTCTGCTCCTCTACAGTAGCACACAGGAAGGGTGGCCTTCTCTTGTGCTGACTCTGCAGCTGCCACTGCTGGTACCACTGCTTGCATTCCCTTCTGCTGCCACTGCTAATACCACTGCTTGCAATCCCTTCTGCTGCCACTGCTTGTACTACTGCTTGCAATCCCTTCTGCTACCACTGCTGGTACTACTGCTTGCATTCCCTTCGGCTGCCACGCCTGCTAAAACCAGTAATATCACTGAGGGACTCTCTTCTGCTCCCACTGCTGCTGCCACCGCTGGTCCCACTGCAACCCTCTCTTCTGCTCGCTGTCCCTTCACTTCACAGCACCAGCAGCAGCACACAGAGAACTCGCAGCTTGGTGACGATTTCACAGCCGTTCCTGTGTGCCTTTTCCGCGCCGCACCTTCTCCCGTCCATGCCTTCTCCCATTCTCTCCTCCGTGCCCACTGCTCCATGTCTCTCCAACGCCCCATCTCCTTCGCCTCTCCTTCCTCTCCTCTGCTGCACAGGGCTGGTGAGCGCATAGCCCCGTTTGCATCCCGTCTATTCTGCTCCTCTAGAGTAGCACACGGGAGGGAGGCAGCATCATTTTCTCCCACTGCTGCTCCTCTGCTCCTCTGCAGTAGCACACGGGAAGGGTGGCCTTCTCTTCTGCTGACTCTGCTGCTGCCACTGCTGGTACCACTGCTTGCATTCCCTTCTGCTGCCACGCCTGCTGAAACCAGTAATGTCACTGCGGGCCTCTCTTCTGCTCCCACTGCTGCTGCCACCGCTGGTCCCAGTGCAGGCCTGCTTTCTGCTCGCTGTCCCTTCACTTCACAGCACCAGCAGCAGCACGCGGGAGGGAGGTAGGAGCGAGGAAGGTAGCAGCTGCCATCCCATCACTTCACAGCACCAGCAGCAGCACACGGGAGGGAGGTAGGAGCAAGGAAGGTAGCAGCACCATCACTTCCCCTCCTCGTATGCATCTCCTCCTCCTCTGATGCATCTCCTCTGCTCCTCCTCCTCTGATGCATCTCCTCTTCTGCATCTCCTGCGGAATAGGAAAAGAAAGTCTGTGAGCTCATTGCGCCAATTGCACCCAGTGGTTGCACACAGTGCCAACGACTGATTGAGAACAAACACGTAGCGAATAAGGCAACGACCATTGATCGAGAGCAGGAAAGGAGATCCTCACCGGCAGTGGCAGAGGATCCTCCTTTGCCTCCTCTGTCCCTTGGCTCTTCAGCCTCTGATGCATCTCCTCTTCTCCTCTCCCCCACTGCTCCTCTCCTCTGCTCCGCCTCCGCTGTTCCTTTGTTGCTCCGCCCCCTCCGATGCATCTCCTGCGGAATGCAAAGGAGGAAAAAGCCTATGAGCACGCAATGATTGCACCCAGTGCCAAGAAGCGATTCGAAATTAAGGCAACGACCAAAGGATGCAAAGCGAACAAGGCAACGGCCAAAGGATGAAGAGATCAAAGCAGGAAAGAAGATGCTCACCGGCAGTAGCAATGGCGGGGAATCCTCGTTCGCCTCTGCTGCTCCTCGCCGTCCCATCACTTCACAGCACCAGCAGCAGCACGCGGGAGGCAGTAACAGCTCACAGCAGTGCCTGTGTGCCTTCTCCCCTCCATGCCACTGGCAGTGGCAATTTCCTGCCTCCGCTGCTCCTCTGCTGCTCTGTCCCCTCCGATGCATCTCCTGCGGAATGGGAGGGAAGAAATCTTCATGAGCAATCAGCGATTGGATCCAGTGTCAAAAACTGATACGAAATTGACGCCAACCGAACAAAGGCGAAAGAAATCAAGAGCAGGAAAGCCGAATTCTCACTGGTAGTGGCAATGGCAGGGAATCCTTCCTCCTGCCGCCTCCGCCTCCCCTGCTCCTCCGCTGCTCAACTCCTCCACTACTCCTCCGCCTCCGCTACTCCTCCCATCTCCGCTACTCCTCCCATCTTCCGTGTTGAAGTCTTGGGGCTGTCTGAAAGGGGAGGGAGGCAACAAACCACGACATTAGTGCATGTGGAAAACAGGAAAGCAGAAATGGACGAGCACGTACCGAGGGGAATGAAGGCGTGTTGAAGTCTTGGGGCTGTCTGAAAGGGGAGGGAGGCAACAAACCACGACATTAGTGCATGTGGAAAACAGGAAAGCAGAAATGGACGAGCACGTACCGAGGGGAATGAAGGCGTGTTGAAGTCTTGGGGCTGTCTGAAAGGGGAGGGAGGCAACAAACCACGACATTAGTGCATGTGGAAAACAGGAAAGCAGAAATGGACGAGCACGTACCGAGGGGAATGAAGGCGTGTTGAAGTCTTGGGGCTGTCTGAAAGGGGAGGGAGGCAACAAACCACGACATTAGTGCATGTGGAAAACAGGAAAGCAGAAATGGACGAGCACGTACCGAGGGGAATGAAGGCGTGTTGAAGTCTTGGAGCTGTCCGAAAGGGGAGGGAGGCAACAAACCACGACATTAGTGCATGTGGAAAACAGGAAAGCAGAAATGGACGAGCACGTACCGAGGGGAATGAAGGCGTGTTGAAGTCTTGGGGCTGTCTGAAAGGGGAGGGAGGCAACAAACCACGACATTAGTGCATGTGGAAAACAGGAAAGCAGAAATGGACGAGCACGTACCGAGGGGAATGAAGGCGTGTTGAAGTCTTGGGGCTGTCTGAAAGGGGAGGGAGGCAACAAACCACGACATTAGCGCATGTTGAAAACAGGAAAGCAGAAATGGACGAGCACGTACCGAGGGGAATGAAGGCGTGTTGAAGTCTTGGGGCTGTCTGAAAGGGGAGGGAGGCAACAAACCACGACATTAGTGCATGTGGAAAACAGGAAAGCAGAAATGGACGAGCACGTACCGAGGGGAATGAAGGCGTGTTGAAGTCTTGGGGCTGTCTGAAAGGGGAGGGAGGCAACAAACCACGACATTAGTGCATGTGGAAAACAGGAAAGCAGAAATGGACGAGCACGTACCGAGGGGAATGAAGGCGTGTTGAAGTCTTGGGGCTGTCTGAAAGGGGAGGGAGGCAACAAACCACGACATTAGTGCATGTGGAAAACAAAAAAGCAGAAATGGAAGATAGCTTACCGAGGGGGCAGAAGCGCTCTTGATGTCTTGGTGACGGCTAAGACACGAAGACATACAAAATACAACATTACGAGTTAGACAAAACAAGAAACAAAAAGCAGACTGCAGCTTACAGCGGGTCCTAACTGCTGCATCCCCGTGTTGCTCCGCCCTCGGTGTTGCCCCCCGTCCTTGCTGTACCTAGAAGACGGGGGACACAAAAGTTATCCTTTGCCCCCCAGCGGGGCAAAGTAGGCACCTCAGTTGAAGTTGCTCCTTCCAGCTGCTACCCCACCAGCTGTTGCTTCGCCCTAAGTGTTGCCCCGGTTCTTGCTGCACCTAGGAAAGGGAAAACACAAAAATTATCCTTCTCCTTGAAGGCGCCGCTCCACCTCTCGCTGCTCCTCGTGTGTTGATCCTTTGCCCCCCAGGGGGTCAAAGCGCCTCACTTGAAGGCGCCGCTCCACCTCTCGCTGCTCCTCGTGTGTTGATCCTTTGCCCCCCAGGGGGTCAAAGCGCCTCACTTGAAGGCGCCGCTCCACCTCTCGCTGCTCCTCGTGTGTTGATCCTTTGCCCCCCAGGGGGTCAAAGCGCCTCACTTGAAGGCGCCGCTCCACCTCTCGCTGCTCCTCATGTGTTGATCCTTTGCCCCCCAGGGGGTCAAAGCGCCTCACTTGAAGGCGCCGCTCCACCTCTCGCTGCTCCTCTTGTGTTGATCCTTTGCCCCCCAGGGGGTCAAAGCGCCTAACTTGAAGGCGCCGCTCCACCTCTCGCTGCTCCTCGTGTGTTGATCCTTTGCCCCCCAGGGGGTCAAAGCGCCTCACTTGAAGGCGCCGCTCCACCTCTCGCTGCTCCTCTTGTGTTGATCCTTTGCCCCCCAGGGGGTCAAAGCGCCTCACTTGAAGGCGCCGCTCCACCTCTCGCTGCTCCTCTTGTGTTGATCCTTTGCCCCCCAGGGGGTCAAAGCGCCTCACTTGAAGGCGCCGCTCCACCTCTCGCTGCTCCTCGTGTGTTGATCCTTTGCCCCCCAGGGGGTCAAAGCGCCTCACTTGAAGGCGCCGCTCCACCTCTCGCTGCTCCTCTTGTGTTGATCCTTTGCCCCCCAGGGGGTCAAAGCGCCTCACTTGAAGGCGCCGCTCCACCTCTCGCTGCTCCTCTTGTGTTGATCCTTTGCCCCCCAGGGGGTCAAAGCGCCTCACTTGAAGGCGCCGCTCCACCTCTCGCTGCTCCTCGTGTGTTGATCCTTTGCCCCCCAGGGGGTCAAAGCGCCTCACTTGAAGGCGCCGCTCCACCTCCCGCTGCTCCTC